ATTTAAGATGTATTATATTTAGACTAATATAGATTCACAATATTTGTATTTTACAAGATATTTTGATTTGTATTCATGACAAAAATGTATTATACATTTACTATGATTTGCATGAGGTAGAGTTTGTATGTGTACTTAAATGCCAATCTTTCTGATGAATGAACGAAGAAAAAAGTTGAGTACTTGAAATTTCCAGACAAGATTGATGCACACCACATGAGTGTGTGCGCGTGTGATTTGAAGGGTCGAATCTTCCGGACACTTGATACACATCACACAATTTCCACATTTATATATAGCACTCCAAGTGATTCTTTAAAATTAAATTTTGAATGAACTTTTATGCATTAAATTATCCTAGTTATATTATTGTTGAGTGATTTGTTAGGAATAACTTTCTCACCAAGTACAACAAGACTATATGGCTGGCTAATTCTTTCGTAACAGTGCGTGTAATGTATGTGAAGTTTATTCAGGGGCGGATCCAAGAATTTTTTTTGGAGGGGACTATATATTTTTCAATAATCATAAATTTAATTTAATGTACATAAAAAATAGAAAAGTTGTATTATAAAATTATATATAATAATGGTGCAATATAAATTATAAAGTTTCAAACATTAAGATTAACAAATTTACATTGAACGCTCTCTGAGTTCATTAATTTCATTAATGATTGACTCATCAATACTAATAGTTTGATATTTTTTCATTCCATTAAGCATATCTTATATGGTCTTTTTTCCAAAAATTGACAATTTATATTTTTTCACATATTTACTGTACATTTAATTTATTTAAATTAGAAAAAATGTTATACAAAAGTGTAAAAAGAGTATAATTGTAGTTGAATTATTAGTAGAAAGAGTAATACAATTACTATTTTAATTATAAATGTGTGAGTTTATGTGAAAAATGATATACTTAAAATTACACCCCCCTAAAGTATATATAGATCCGTCCCTGAGTTTATTATTGCTGGATCAACATATATTCACGTGGGTGTATAAAAGTGCATGTGATCTAATGGTTAATTTGTTCATACTTGTATGGGTAGTGTCTACCCATACTACACTATGACTAAGATTGTGTTTGGTAAGCATATAAGCTAGTTTATAGTTTATTTGATTAGCTTATAAGTTTCCTATATTCAAATAAATTTAGTTTGATAGGACTAGAGTTTTTAAAAATTTCGAGCTTATTTCATAAATTTTATTGGGTAGTTTTTCAAATAAGCCAATTGAAAATTTTGTTTCAACTAGTTTCACAACTAATTTTACCAAAGCGTTTTTATCATATAAGATAGATTCCCAGCCATAAGTCATAAGCTATTAACTATAAACTTGAAAGTCACTAACGCTATAAGCTAGCTTATCAAAGCTTGAAAGTTACTTCTTTCGTATTTCGTACTAGTATAGTGTCTACATTGAGTTCATTTATGTTGGATCAATCTACATACATGGGTGTATGTGTTAGTGGAACGATAAAATCCTTATCGAACTTACTTTAACCATCTGTTCACTTCTTCAGTTCCAGATGTTGATGTTTGTGATTTGAATGGTATACCTCAATCCATAACTGATGATATGAACCAGATGTTGACTGCAGCTGTGACTGTTAAGGAGATATATGCAGTTATCAAAGAAATGGAACCAAACAAGGCCCCTGGCATTGATGGAATGACCACTCTCTTCTTTCAAAGCTGTTGGCCAATTATTAAAGATCATTTATGTGCTGCCATCATCAACTTCTTTGAATCTGGAATGATGCCCAAAGGTATTAACCATATTGTCCTTTCTCTTATTCCCAAAAAAACTAATCCTTATTTTGTCTCTGATTTTAGACCTATAGCTCTTTGTACAGTCATATATAAAATTATCTCCAAAATTTTAGCTAATAGAATTAAATTAGTTTTGAGCCCCTGCATTGATGATTCCCAAGCTGCTTTTGTCCCAGGAAGACAAATTCTTGACAATGTTGTCTTGGCTAATGAATGTCTTCACTTCATCAATAGTAAAAGAAAAGGCTCTAAATTTTTGATGGCAGTTAAAATTGACATGGCTAAAGCTTATGACCGTGTTGAATGGCCCTTTTTGATTTGTGTTTGTAAAAAAATGGGCTTCTCTGATCAATTTTTGTCTTGGATTTTTGCTTGTCTCCATACCACCTCTTACTCCTTCAATGTTAATGGGCAAATTTTGGGTTTTGTTAAACCTTCTAGGGGAATTAGGCAGGGTGATCCAATTTCCCCATATCTTTTTATCATTCTCTCTGAAGCTCTTTCCAACTTGATTAACCAAGCAGTCATTAATTCCTTGTATTTTGGTATTAAAATTAGTAGATATTCCCCTCCTATATCCCACCTTTTGTTTGCTGATGATACCATCTTATTTTGCTCTGCTGATGTGTTTCATGCTTCTCTCATCCTTCAAATTCTTGATAGATTTGGTACTTCCTCTGGTCAATCAGTCAATTTGAGTAAGTCCTCTATTATATTCTCTAAAAATACCCCTGTTAACACCAAAGTGAGAATCTGTAACATCTTGAATGGCATTCAGAGTGTGGGATCCACTAAATATCTAGGGCTTCCCCTTGGAATAGGCAGGTCTAAAAGAGACACTTTTAATTATGTTAAGGAGGCTGTTTTAGCTAAAATTTCTTGTTGGAAAAACTCCTTTTTGTCTGCAGCTGGGAGAGAGATTTTAATTAAGTCAGTGCTACATGCTCTACCCACCTATGTAATGTCATGCTTTAAACTTCCTGTGAGTGTCTGTAAGGAAATTTGTAGGAAAGTGGTTAATTTTTGGTGGGGTAAAAAGGAGCAGGGGGATAACAAAATTCATTGGGCTGCCTGGGAGTTATTGTCTAAACCCAAAACTTGTGGGGGGTTGGGATTCAGGAATCTTAGCATCTTCAATGAGGCTCTTCTTGTTAAGCAGTTATGGAGAGTTATTACCTGTCCAAACCTGCTTATAAGTAGAGTTCTCAAAGGAAAATATTTTCATAACACCCACATTTTTAATGTTATTCCTAAAAATGGGGATTCATGGTTGTGGAAGAGCTGGGTCAGTGTAATTAGGCTGTTAAAATTGGGGGTCAGATATCAAGTGGGAGATGGGCAACTCATTTCTACCTGGGAGCATCCTTGGCTCCCAAGGATTTCTAACCCTTCCCCTACTTGCTGCTTTCCTAGGGATAAGGTCAAATTGGCTAGAGTGTGCAATCTTATGGTTGAGGGGAGAGGAGAATGGGATAGGGAATTGATTAAACAGTCTTTTATGCCTGAAGAGGCTGAGATTATTCTTAAAATTTCTGTTTCTAGAATAGGAAGAAGGGACAAGTTAGTTTGGATGTTTGGGAAATTTGGGAAATTTGATGTGAAATCAGCATATAATGCTATTTTGGCTGAGGTGGGTAAAAGTAAGTCTGAGGCCAGCTCTAGTGGAGGTCTGACTATTAGAAGAAGCTGGTGGAAGCTGACATGGAATCTACCTATTAAACCTAAAATAAAACACTTCTTATGGAGGTGTTGGTACAGGTTTCTGAGTTCTAATGATCAATTGTTGCAGAGGAACATTCAAGTGAATAGTATATGTATGTTGTGTGAGGTAGCTGGGGAAGATCTTGATCACATTCTTTTTTCCTGTGAGAGAGCCAAAAGGGTGTGGAAGTTAAGTGGCTTAACCTGGAATATGCTGCAAACCCCTAATCCCAATTTTAGATGTTGGTGGAGTGAAGTTTGTAGTGCAGTTCAATCCACAAGTCTCAAGGATAGAATAAGTTTATCTTGTTATATCCTTTGGTGGCTGTGGAAAACTAGGAACTTGTGGGTGTTTGAAAGAAATAAATTGAATGAATGGCAGGTGGCTGAGGGTGCCAAAGCAGAATGGATGGAGTTTTTGACTTTGCAGGAACAGGTTAAGGGCAGAGTGAGGGAGAAGGAACTACAATCCAGTGATACTGAGGAGCAGATTTTCCAGAAGGTAGGACAGTGGAGCTTTTCTGTCAGTGCCTTGAGCTCCTCAAGCAATCAACTGGAGATCTCTTGTTTAGCTGAGAAGGAGGGTGATGCAGCTCAGATTCTGAAAACAAGTTTGGGGTTTAATGGATGCAAGGAAGGTATGGTTCTTGAAGCTGTCAGGTGGGTCATGATGCAGGCTGTACAAAAGGGATGGCTCCATTGCATTTTCAAGCTAAATGATAACAAACTGGCTACCAAATTGCAAAGGAGATCATTTCAATTTGATGTATGTTGCTATAGCTTAGTTGAGGATATATGCTCCCTCATGAACTCTTTTTCTTCTATTTCTTTTGTTGTTCATTGACTTTTTGTGGACAGTTTGTGCGGTTTGTTGAAGGGGTAGGACTACGTTCTCTATCCCTATGTTGTAAACACTCATTTGAGTGTACGGTTGAACATTGTCTTGAGTTTTTGTTAATATATCTTAGTTGTCGTTGGAAAAAAAAAACTTACTTCATATGGCCTAGACGTTTTAAGATCTCTTTCACACGGTTCGATTTAGATCTTGGACATTTAACAGTCAGTTTCAAACAGCTCACGCTAAACTTTATTCCACTCAGCAAAGTAGCACTCACCGAGTAATCTAGTGTGTAATCCGTGGATTATTAGTGGTAGTATCACAAATTTCAATCATGCTTTCAATATCCACCTAAATTTGTTTGGCTAAAATGAAAATAATCAATAAAAGATCACAAATCACTACTCAAAAGCAATACATAAATACTCGAAGATTGACAAATAAATGAATTACGTACTTTCATTACTTTAAACTCGAACCAAATGGACACAGAATTTCCATTTGTATCAACACTTTTCTGCCCCAACAGGAGCAAAATTGACCCCCCAATATAAAAGCTTAAAAATAAAAAGGCCACACTACATTCTACACAAG